CAAAGAAAAAAAGTAACGCAGTTACTAGTAAAGTTACCAAAAAAGTAACTTGTAACTGTAACTTCGTTACAAGTAACGAGTTACTTCCATTCCCTGGTATGAACGGCACATCGTCGAGCCTATCTTGGCATCGCTCGAAGAGTTTCAGAAACGCGGTAGTGGGTGGGTGCTGTCGCGAATCCTTAACTTTACTGTTAACGTAAACAAACTCAATCCCATGCGGGATGCCATATCGAAGTGCCACGGGGAATTGCGTCTAAACGAACGGTGATCAGTGTGCGTACGACGGACAATGCGTGCTTCGCGTGGTCGGTGGTCGCCGCTCTGTACCCGGCTGAAAAGTATACGGAGCGAGAATCATCGTACCCGCGTTATACAACAGTATTAAATCTAACAAACATTGAGTTTCCGATGACTTTAAAAGCCATTCCAATCAACGTATACGGCATCGAGAATAAACATATCCTATGCGACTCACAGGCGACAAAAAGGAGAAGCACGTCAATCTCCTGTACCTGCAAAATACACGTAATGACAGCATTAGCCACTTTGCGTGGATAAAGAACCTGTCGCGCCTTGTGAGATCACAACTCACAAAAAAGGAGCACAAGAAATATTTCTGCGATCGGTAAGTATAATAAGAAAAGTAAATATAATAAGAAAATAAATATAAAAGATAAAAAAAACATATGAAAAAAAATGATTTCTCTATTTACAGATGCCTTCACTATTTTGACTCGAGCCAAAAATTGCAGACGCACAAAGTGGGTTGCCAAAAACTGAACGACTGCGCCATCCGCCTGCCGAGCGAGAACGACAGATGGCTCCAATTTGACAACCACTGCAATCAGGAACGTGTACCGTTCATAGTATACGCCAAGTGCGTCCTGCGGAAAACGGAGTCCGACAAAGAAGGCGCGTCGTCGTAAGAGTATCAACGGCACGAAGTATTCAGTATAGGATACTACGTGCGATGCTCGTATGGCAGTTTGTTGTCGTCATATCACTTCCGTCGCGACGAAAACTGTATAGCGTGGTTCGCGCGACAGCTCAATGATTTGGCGCATCGCGTCAAAGATATTATATCCGCCAACGTGCCCATGGAAGCGTTATCTAAGTAGCAATGGGAGGCATACCGCAGCGCGACGCGTCGTCATATTTGTGAGAAGCCGTTCGCGCCGGACGATACGCGGGTCCGCGATCATTACCACTTAACCGGTAGATACCGCGGTCCAGCACATTCAAATTGTAATCTTAATTATAAAAATTCATTTAATATTCCAGTTGCATTTCACAACTTGTCGGGGTACGATGCGCACTTTATAATTAAAGAAATAGCTACCGCGTACGACGGACATGTGGACATACTTCCTATGACAAAAGAAAAATATATTTCGTTCACGAAACATGTTTGATAGCACCAAAGATAAAAACGAAAATCAAAAAAGTTGTATAAAATTAAGATTCATTGATTCTTATAAGTTTTTCGCATCAAGTTTAGAAAAATTGGCGTTGTATTTCTACAACGATAAATAAAAAATTGTACTTTCCGAATTTTCAACTCTGTCAGACGAAGAATTTGAATTGCTGACTCGTAAAGATATCTTTCCGTACGAATACATTGACTGCGTTGAAAAATTGCAGGACACGCGCTTACCATTGCGAGAATTATTTTTCAGTTTATTGACGGATGATACAGTATCCGAGAGCGATTACGCTCACGCCGTGAATGTATGGCAGCGATTCTCCATTCGAACACTCGGCGAGTACAGCGATTTGTACTTGAAAACCGCTGTCTTGTTATTAGCCGATATTTTCAAAAATTTCCGCAATAGTTGTGTCGTGAGTTAAGGTCTCGATCCCGCGCATTATTATACACTGCCAGGTTTCACGTGGGACGCCATGCTAGAACATACGCGCGTAAGATTTGAGTTGCTCATCGACATTCATATGGTCATGTTCATCGAGCGCGGCATACGCGGTGGCCTTAGTCAATGTTCCGGCAGATACGCGCAGGCTAATAACAAGTACATGCGTTCGTACGACTTATCGAAACCGTCGTCGTACTTTATGTATTGTATAATACTACGATGTGAATAATCTGTACGGATGGGCGATGTGTCAACCATTGCAGTACGTCGAATTTCGATGGGTCGAAGACGCTGCAAACTTTGACGTGAGCGCGATCGCTCTGGATTCGCCTACCGGTTATATTCTCGAGGTTGATCTCGAGTATCCGCAACACCTGCACGACCGACACACTGACCTACCTTTCTGCCCAACGCGCGATAAGCCGCCCGGCAAGCGCGAAAATGAACTTCTCGCAACGTTGTACGATAAGTAGCGTTACGTAATCCACTACCGCAATCTGCAGCAATGTACTCCTCACCGACTTCGCGTAACAAAGATCCACCGGATGCTACAATTCGCTCAATCTCCATGGCTCCGCGATTATTTTGAACTTAATACACAATTTAGAACGCGCAAAAAACGATTTCGAAAAAAATTTGTATAAACTTATGAACAACGCGGTATTCGGCAAGATCATGGAGAATGTGCGCAATCATGTAGATGTAAAATTATTAACGAAATGGGATGGACGATATGGCGCGGAGGTAATAATAGCGAAACCGAATTTTCACAGCCGCAGCGTATTTGCGGAGAATCGCCATCGAAATGCGCAAACTCGAGGTGAAGTTCGACAAGCCGATTTACGTGGGCATGTGTATACTCGACATATCGAAAGTCTGCTTGTACGAATTTCACCACGAGTACATGTCACCGATGTATCGCGACAAGTGCAAAATTATGTACACCGACACGGACAGTCTCATTTATCATACAGAATGCGACGATGCTTACGAGACTATGAAACGCGATATCGTAAAATTCGACACGAGCGATTATCCGGCGGACAACGCGTACGGTATGCCTCTCGCGAATAAAAAAGTACCCGGCCTGGTAAAGAACAAGAAAAACGGTTTATTAATGACCGAATTCGTTGGACTTAGAGCGAAGATGTATGCGGTGAGGCAAGAAGGATACTAAAAAGGTGAAAGGTGTAAAGAGTAACGTCGTAGCGCGAACGACAACGTTCGACGATTACAGGCATTGTTTGAATAAAAAGATTGAAATAACTCGCCGTCAATCGTGTATACGTTCTAACTTACACGAGGTATACACGATATCCGAATCAAAAATCGCTCTGAGTCCATACGACGACAAACGATATGTCGTACCTGACTCGACGGAAACGGTACCATGAGGGCATTGGCGGATACCTTTGTAATATATGTATCAAAATGTTCCAAACTGGTCCAGCTTTCAAAAATGAAGTTTTTAAAAAGTCTAGTCAGTTGAGGTAAAGTCAACGAGTTCCACCAATTTTCAATAATACCTGAAAATGAATTTTGTAAAAAAAGTATCATACATAATAATAATTAGATAATTTGCGGGAGGAATGAAATATAATATTACTTGTAATATTTATTACATATGATATGCAATAGCTCCTGGCAGACTTGGGAAATTGTTCGTTGCAGATAAACAGACATGTAAACCATACGTGTGTGAATTTGACAAAGTTCACGTTCCAAATTTTGTTCCAAACATCTTTTCGTAAATTCCGTTTGAGAAAATCTTCTTGACGGTTTTTGGATGGATTCATTAATAAGAGGTTTACCACAAGGAAATCTCAACAAGAAATGCATCATGAAACGTATCTTTAAATTACAAATTACATAATAATCATCGATTAGGGTTAATCGAGTTGATGATATTTTTTGTATATATGATCGTATACAAACTTACCTTTTTAAAAAAAGATAATAAAAGCGCTAAGCGTGTGTGCTTCTCGTAAAGAATCGCCATTTGGGCCTGGTTTACCAACGCCAATTACTTAATCGGCCGTGAAACTGATGACTAATCACGTTTGCTGTTTAGTGGAACTAAAGTAATCACGTTTGCTGTTTAGTGGAATTATACAAACTTACCTATTTAAAAAAAGGTAAAAAAAGCGCTAAGCGTGCATGTTTCTCGTTGAACCATCATTTGGGTCGGTTTGACCAACGCCAATTACTTAATCAGCCGTGGAACTGATGACTAATCGCGTTTGCTGTTTAGTAGAATTGATCACTTTCGGTTGACAGTAAATCACCGATTAGGGTTAATCGAGTTGATGTTTTTTCTTTAAGGATATTCTTATAATGATATGTATCATTCGTATAAAAGATTTGATGTCAACAAAACAGGCGCCAAGTTAAATTCCATGTAATTCGGACTTTAATTCTTCAAAGATATTCTTATAATGATATGTATCATTCGTATAAAAGATTTGATATCAAGAACTGGCGCAAAGTTAAATCCTATTTCTCTCTCTCTCTCTTTATACAATGTCAAATTATTAATCTTATGATATGTATCATTTGTATAAAAGAACTGATATCAACAACTGTGGCGCCAAGTTAAATTCTACTATCAAAATGAAAAGTAAAACTCAAGTGATACTATCTTTATTATTTACATAATCCAAATGGCACTATCTTTAATTTTTATGCGACAAAACCTAAGTATACGTATACTTATTGAAGAATCTTCCTATTCCAATCCAAATAGTTTAAATTCCTCTTAAATGAAATTATTGTATCACATTTCATTCACAGACATTTCCTCTTCCAACAAAAGTAGTGGTTATTTAATTTTCCTTCAAAACATTATACAAAATATTATCACAAAATTGCGTTACCTTGCTCAATTTAAGTGTTACCACAAAAAATTAAAAAATTTACCCTATAAAATGAACAAATTTAATTTAAATAGAAAAATTTTTCATGTAAAAACACTTGGCGCTGCTAGATCTCTATATATAATAACATGGTAGTATAGTAGTAAAGCATGAATGTAAATAAGAAGGATAAGAATATAATACTTAGAAAAAATAATATAAATAAGAAGCATATTAATAAGAAAAGTCAGAATCATATTAAAAAATATGAATATTTCGAATCCCCAATGAGAGTTAAAATATCTAGCATGTGTATACATGATTGAGTTATAGAGTCGTGTAAATTATGATTGTTGTGAATGCTATTAAGTTTAAATCAAAGAAAAATAAATTTTGATTTGTAAGACATGCATTATGAAAGAAAATTTATTATTACTTTTCTATAATATTCTTGAGGCTTTCACGGGTGTTTCCTATATGACAATCTTGCGTTTCGCGGGTTTTCTCCGTGTTCAAATCCATTCTTGGAATGCCAACGTT